ACTTTCAGCCTTCAGCCCCTGCCCACCCAGTGAGGTCTCCTCGTACCGTTTGCTGGCGAAAATCACAGAGGAAATGGCTCGTCGTTTGAGCGTCGTGGCCGGTCACGAGCTCCCCCAATTCCTCCTTCACGCTCTGGGCATTAGTTTGCCAACAGAAGGATGAAGGTTGCCCGGGCAATGGTGCACAAATTCAGATTCAAATATGGTGTGGTGGTCATTCATTGGGCCCGGAGACAGGGGGTTCTCCGGGAAGGTATCACCTTCATAACATTCATCGGCATCACAACATGATCATCAATTTCACAACATGATCATCGATTTCACAGCATTGTCATCGGTTTCACATCGTTGTCAAAGGGATGACCATGCGAATACATTGGGGTGGGAGGATGGGGGGATGGGGCCTCAGCGCACAAACCACGTGACTGCTTCAAAGAGAATCGTTGCCGATTCAATGCACCGCAGCGTTGCCCAAAATCTGTGAACTTTCTGAACTTTCACACATTCAACGACGTCGATTCGGAAACAGCTCTATTTTTGCGGATTGTGTAGGTCCAGGGCTGCAAACATTGTCGCAATTAACGCGAAAATGAACTCCTCAACAATCAACAACACACCCCTCAAGAACACCAGCCTTCCAACGCCTGCCAGCCAAGAGGCAATATGTTCTTTATTCTCCTTCCGCTCTTGAGCAGCGCATGCGCGCGCTGGATCCAGTCGAATGGTCGGCGTGATGCCTGCCTTCCAATCGCTTTTGATGGAAATGGAACCCTAACCAAAGGCCGATCATAGCAAGGCCAAGAAGAACAACTCAGAAGTAGCAAAACCAGGTACTAGTTCCAAAGGTACCAGAACCCCCCTGAAAACGACCATAAACAACCTAAAGTACCTTGTGAGGAGGTGTTTGGACGCCTATCGACAACTGGTGATTTGCAAACAAAGCCTGTGTCACCTCATTTTTCCTCTAGGAGGCTGCAAAGCTGTAGCCCACTCCCCCGCAAAAGGTACCCTCCTAATGAAAATTGCAAAAGCATGGACAAGAAAACGCATCATACGCGAGTCTAAGCTGCATGCCATGGTTTGCTGCGCTCGCCAAGCCCTTGCAGCGCTGGCTTACATTGATCCAAGACAGCCTGGGAGAGCGATGAACTTGCAAAATAGCTTCTTCCCTCCTGTCCCTTTCTTGGCAAAAGGGGTCTAATTGTGCAGCATAATGAAGGGGCAGTTATCATGGAGTAGACCTGCCCAAAGAAAGCACTGTGAAAACTTCGCGAATTACAAGTGGGCACCAAAAACTGGGCCAGGACTAAATCCACAGCCCAAAACCCATTGCTGATTGCAAGACCACCTTCAAAGCTTCCTTCATCGATCCTTGTCTTTTCACGATGACAGTTTCAGTTTTGAACAATGATACTACAAGGCAGATGTGCGGACAAGACCATTTATATATTTGCCAGGGTCTTCAACAAACTTTAAGCCAGAACCACTGGAAATAGGAAGCGTCCAATCCCTTGCGGTTCAGTCACTTTTGCTTGGTCGCGATCTGCTCTTGCAAAGGATCCGTATGTGAAAGGTTCACACAGCTCCTCAGCTGCAACCGCAACTTTTCTTGCAAAACGATTTTGTTCCTCTGCTCGGTCACTGTAATGTGGTGGATGTGATGCAATCATTCATTCAACCCCAATCACGACCATGAAGGTAATTGATGTGATTCGCAACATTTGTAACCCCAGATGCAGCCATGCAGGTATTTGGTGTGATTTGCCTCCATCTAGCTTCGACAGCGCGTGTCGGAGGGAAGGGACACAGCTGCAGCTCAGGCGCAAACTCCCACATGGCGAGGAACCTCGGGCCCTGAAGACGATCAGGCCGAGCAGCCTGTCCTGGTCCCCGTCCAACCTGAGCCCATTGCGGCAGCTGTAAAAGCACTCGTCTAATAATTTCATAATGTCTTGGCAGTGCGCTACTTAGACTCAGTAGCTCCGCTAAAGCACACCCGCCAACACAGCCAAGCAGCGTCAAGACGAAGTTGTAACAAGCGAACGTAGCTCGATCTAGCTTTGGGCATGGGGCCCCGTGAAGCCGTGAAGGCTCCTCATCGTGTTGCAAGCCAAAAACGCATAATAAACCAATGTCAATTTGGCCCGCAAGACCATTCAGAAGCCAGCCATCCACCGCCACATGTCACGTAGCAAAAAAAGTGACGCACATGGCCGTATACAAGAGCATTTAGTGATCAATCCGAATTATAGTATCAATTGATCAGGGCCCTGGCATATATCTTTTTGTAATCTGGTGGCAAAACCTGCAACGTCCAACGTCCAACGCTCAATCCAAGCTGCGTATGCCACGTCTTCAGCAACCCCACGTGCGGCTTTCCACGCAGAACGCCTTTCAGCTCATCCATCGGCTTCTCTTCGTCTTCCAGATCACAGAGCCTGTTCATCACCATCCAGTAGGCCTGACTCTTGGGCAAAATTAAAGGCAAAACGAGGCATTCCCAAGCTATCCGCAAGGACTGCTCAGCATGTCCAACCCCGTCTACGCATTTGTAAGCGGCCCAAACCCTTCAAAAGACAAGTGGCCTGGAAGGGCCTTTTCTGAGCTTGAAAAGGTGAATCCAGGCCACTTGTTCGAAGCCTTCAAAAAGGGCGTCTCTGCTAGCAGGCAAAATGAGTTGGCACGAACCCTCGGCCACTAGCGCAACAAGTTTCCACGAACCCCTGTATGAGCCGTGCATGGTTTGCACAAGCCCTAAAGACCTCCACGAAGCTCTGGGAATCTGCATACCTGTACTTTTTGCATGCCCTGTGCTGATAAGCACTCAACTCCAACACTGATGAAAAGCAGCGCACGCCAAACATAATTTTCCACATTTTACATTCATCCTGGTGAAACAGCATATTAGTGGCAAAGGCACACCGCAGAAGTACCGAACAAACTCCTTGAACTCCTCCCGGAAGAGCGCACTGCGCCGGAAGCAGCACCGAGGCTTCTTTGCCTTGTTGTCGCGCAGAACGTCAAGTGGAAGAAGTATCTCTCAAGTTTGGAACCTAATTCTGGATAGTTCTCCAACTTTTTGCATCACCTGCTTTAGAAAAAGAGTACCTGCCAGGTGACTCGTCCTTCGTGAGCTTGTAGCTACTGCCACCACACGAAGAGCCGCAAACAACGCAGCCACGGCCCTTCTCTTTCATGCCATGATGTTCCAACACCATGAAGGGTGTTCAAACACTTTATCCTCTAATGACTAGGTGTGACCAGTATTTACCACAGTTGTACCGTACATATTATGTTCAAAAAACACTCAACGCTACTCCATTTCCATATGATTTCCACAACAGCCTACACTGGACACTGTACACTCCGCCTCCCCACGGTCTCCGCGGGCCGTTTCTCGGACCGTTTCGCCTGGTCGGCGAAGCTCCGTGCGTTCTGAGCACACTGATCCTGGCGGCTCGCCCGGCTGATCGGGTGGTGGGGTTGAGCGAGTTTGAAGCGCGGTATGTGGCCCTCGAAGTGGCAAGTGGGGCGGTTGGAGGAATGGATTTGTCACGAGAATTGTTCCCGTTCACACTTTTGTGAGCTCAGCGTGGACGACAGAAGAGGTTGTGAGTGGTGGTGAGCAAACGCCAAGTCTGGGCTCTAAAATGTAGAATGTGGTCAAGTCCACGGCCATGTCCTTTCACATCCTTTGACTCTGGAGGGGTAGAGCATAGCAGAAAAAGAGAAGCACGTAGAAATTCTGCGTCTAGACTCTAGACCCTGCTGGTGGGCATATCCACGATGATGATGACCTTCACAGCATCTGGTCCGTCATCCAGGACACCAAGAACTGTAAAGAACACCGAGCGACACCGTTTCTTGGGATTATTTGAAAGAGGCATCTACTGACTCATCCACTGCTCACCCTCCGATCATCCGATCGATCTAGTCTACCGAAGGTGTCCGATACGGTACCCTTGACAGCTGTCTGACAGCTGACCAGATCGGTGCTGGTACCAGGCTGCCTTCAGCTCGGAACTCTTTGTCGCCATGGCTCAATCAAGGCAGTTGCCACAAGCTGAACGAAGCTGGAGGCGATGGACACATGGGGCTTCGGAAATTACATTTAATGATCAAGCTGATTGCCAATCTTTTGACTGACTTTAATGTCTTACAAAAGGGATAAAAATAGCAGCGCCAGTGACAGGGCCTGACAAACAGGCGCATTGCAAGATTGCTTTTACAATAGGCATATACTAGTTGAAAAAAACAAGATAAGAAAGCATCCAGTGAATGTCATCACACAAGATCACTTTTAGTAGTCCATCTCCTCAAACTGCAAGTAACGGCACTGTGAGACAAAATCACGAAACGGAAGATGAAAACGGCGACAAAGAAAACGAAGATGAGACAAAATTGTTCAAAAACACTTTAGAAATCATAAATTAAAATAGAAAGGCAACAAAACTTAACATCCTTCAAAAAGGCTTGCTTGCTTGCTTGCTTTGCTCGCAAACCATGAAGCTGCGCAAGTGTACCGGTAGAATTGGACCACCATGGGGTCTGGATTGGTTCTTTTTGATGATCTGTGGTACTGTGGGAGCTGTTGCCCTCCCAGCGCCCCTGCTAAGAAAAGTCACGCCTAGGGATCCAAGTACCTCTTCAAAAGGTACTTGGACCCTCCAAACCCATCCCAAACACCTTCTCAGAGGGTACCTGGATTCTTTAGGGGGTATATCCAGTATCACGTGCATTCTTTACGCCGGCTCCCTGGCACCCGCTGATCCAGCCGGTGCAGCTGGTGTGCTGCTCCATGGTAAAAAGCCACGGTATAAAAGCAGTTTCAGCCACTCTCAAGCATCTGACGGGGAAAAAACATGCAAAAAACACCTATGTCTGTGGGGTTCTCTCTTAAAAGATATCGTTATTAATAATGGTTTCGTTGCTGATGCACCGTTCGTTTGCTGATGCACCTGCCCCCTTCGGCAACACAGTGCCACTGCATGCCATGGCTCACGTCGCCCTCTTCGGGCATTGGCAGAATCTTGAGGAACCTCATGGTCCGTGCGGCTTGATGAAGTGTTGCAAAGCACACCGCTGTTTAGCCGGCGATACCGATACCTTGGGTGCCCGTTCTCGTTCTACTCACGAGTAAATCACTTGACATGTTGAATTCACACCTTCCTGAAGACCACTTGGAGTTGCAAGTGTCTGGGCACATTCAGAACTCGCCCCAACCCCCCAACCCCAACCCCTCAGCTGTTAACCGACATGGCTGGCTAGGGCTCCTGGCACCACTGACATGGATGGACAGCCATCTTCACAGCAACCAACATCATGCATTTCATGATCTGTGATGGCAGGTTTTGACCCATATGCATTCGTCATGGCCTGCTTGTGAAGTTTGTGGAAACTCATGGAAACTCAAACCATCTCAAATCCATAATCCCAAAGACCTTGGTAGCATCTTCTAAGTCAAAGCTGCGGGTGCCCCCGGCCCTGAAAAGAACACCCAGGTCATGAGGCGATTCTAATCCACAAAGACACAACCAATCTGACATATCATCAGAAAGTGTCCAAGTCCGTCATCTTGTTCACCTTCCAAAACTGATAAAACGTATAGAGCCAGCCCCTTTCTTTAACATTGAAAAACCAACCAAGAGTCACAAAAGAGTGCTTTTTTGGTCCCATCCAGTGAGTGGATGTTCCGGGCACCCCTATCCTCCAAGTTCGGTACCCCGTCTTGTGACTCCTGGAAACCCATCACTTTACAGGTTTCATGTCGCGACCAGCAAGCTCCAGCCTGCTCCTCCGCCACGTCCATCGGAACCTCCACTCGCCGTGGTCCCATGTCCGGTGACGACCGGGAGGCCCGTTCTCGGCATGCATGGGCTTCTGTGTCTCGGCGTTCTTGGTGAACTGCTGCCAGTTGATCACCGTCGCCGGCTCCGTCCTGGGACGAAACATGCGGTGGAACATACCGCGTGTTCCGCGCACGTGTGGCCGGGTGTGTGAGTCTTGTGTTATATCGCAAGATTTGGCGCAAAAAGGAGGGGTTGGGGAGGCTGTGGCAGTGCACTTTTTGAGAAGTTTTGATGCTGAATTTTGATCATCTGACATGTGGAAAATTTTAACTACAATGTTCGATATCTAGATAACACAAATCCTGCCTAAATACGTATACAAACTACTGCCCTACAACTTGCCCTAGAACTTTGTGACCTTGTTGATCGATCCACCATTGGCAGCGACCCGCATAGCTTGCTGTCCCGGCACGTCAGCAGATCGTCACCCGAGAGGGATTCTTAGAACAACCCTGCGTGACGCTCCCCGACATGTCCGAGGCCCCCACTTCAAAAGGAGAAAGGTCGAAGATTCCAAATACTCCACTCCTCGTGGAAGGACCTTGCCCTTACCTCAGCATCCCATGGGACCAAACCCGCAACCCTAAAACTACTCCGATGTGCTCCCAAAATCAATATCAATGTTGCGTTAGGCTTTGAACATGTGTGTGTGTGATGTCATCAGTTCCTAGCTAAATCTCTGATATGATATCTGATGTATGTATATTATATATGCATACATAGCAGCAGTCACAAAGGGGAGGTTAGAGGCGCCCATTATCTACTCACTTGGGGACACCGCTTTGTGAATCTCATCTTGAATCTTGTTTGTGCAAGTAAATCATCATAATATAATATAATGTTACAATATATATATATAACATCATTTAACGCTCTGTTGCCCAACTGAAGGACTCAAAAGCCCAAGGCTCCAAACCAAACAATTTGATGATTCGATCTAAAAAGCATTAAAACAACCTATATACGATCCCCCAAACCCAACAAACATATGACAAAAAGAAAACAACAAAAAACATGAAACAAACACAAACACAAACAACAAACATTGATTTAACAAAAAAACTAACTCCAGAACTTCTTACAGAACAGCTGCCCTTCCAAGTCCCCACGATAAAGGGCACTCGAGCCATGGCGAGAGCCGGGCTCCACCCTGCCTCAGCGAAGCACGAAACCGCCGTGCTTCGGCCGCGGGGACCCCCCGGAAGCAGTGGCGAAAATGCCAAGAGCACGTGTTTCTCTTCCAGGACCTTCCAACAGGTCATCACTCCTGCGACCTTTGAAGTCTACAAAAGCCTCCATTTCGGAGACCTGTTGGAAGGTGCTGGTGGTTTTTGTGTCAAACGTGCTCTTAAAAACAAGCTCTTAAGAACACGTTTTCTGATGTGTTCTTAATCAACAACCTGTTGCTAATTTACATGGTGTTACACTTTTACAAAAGCATAGAAGCACAGGTTGTATCTTTTGGGGACGATCATCCTACCCGTCGACCGGGTTGAACTCAAGACCTCGTGACCCACCAAGTTTCGGGAGTTTCGGCAGTTGAGGGGGGAACTTTCAAGACTTTAATGCGTTAAAACCATATTATATACAGTAAAAACGTTCACATCATTTCACACCGTGAAAGTTGATGTTCCTCCACAACTCACTCAAAGGATTTGGGTTGCCATGATAAATGCGACATCTTTTCACCCTGACACGTGTTCGAAAGACACCGATTTGTAGCTGCATGGACCACGAACAAATAGGTGGAGAGTGCGGCATGCGATGCTTCACCTTGCCGGGTGCCTGTTTGGAAGGAGCTTGTACCAAAGCGATGGTACTGATGACACGTACCTACTTGCGTTCGACCTTCTCCAAAGCTGTTCACTTGCCTTGCCGCTAAGTGGCTGAGTGTCGATGAGACAGGCCACAGAGTGCCGGGACGAAAGCTTGAGAACAATCGGTCAAGAACGCGATCTTGGGCGGTGCATCATGAGCACTTATCACTGACAACCTCACGTTTGATCAGAGACACAAACATGGCAGGATCGTTCGTAGCATGGCTTTCACAGTTTGAGTTCGCTTCGACTCTCCAAACATCGACTTTCAAAGGCACAATACTTATCAATACTTTGATGGAGCAGTTGAACCTAGCTTCGGTCCTTAGCTGAAAACGGCTCAAGCACTTTTTTTAGAGCGCTTCGTGGGTTCGTAGCCAGGCAAAACAAGAGGAACAAACCTCACGAACAACGCTCCGCCGTGTCCGCCCAAGCTGGCTCTGCCTTGCTGCCGAAGCGGGAGAGCATGCTCACGGGGTCGGGGCAGGACAAGATCTGCCTGAGGATCACGGTGATGTTTGGATTGGAGAACGTGATATTTAGCATATTGGGGTTTGGATATTTGGAATACGCCGACACGTGATTTGATCTCTAATCTCTATGCCTGTGTCCGTTGCGAGTTTGGAGAACACCTGAACACGCCCGTGGGGCCCTTCCTTCGGGCGGAGAACCAAGACTGAGTCGGAGTCCGTTGAGTCTTGACAAGCTGGACACGGTTCCGAGCTATAGCTAACATGGAGGATCTGAACACCACGGCCGTGCCAAACATTCGCATGTTGGCCACTGCACCTGGTCGAAAATCCATGAGAATTGATACATTCCAGCAGTCATGGAGGTTGGGGGTGCGATGCATGGAGGTTAGGGAAAATGGTAAAAGGGGGGTTCTGGGGAGGATTTGTTGGTGTGTTGCTTGTTATGTGTTTTTGTTGCTGTTCAATGTGTTTTCCTTGCTGTTGATGTTTTATGTGTGGGGGGTTCTGGGTTTTTTGGGTTCTAACTTTTCTGGGGCAAATGGTTTTAAGATGCGGTGGATGATTGTTGCTGCTGTTGTGTTTTATTTCTAGGTCTGGGTTTATGGGTTGTAACTATGCTGTGGTTATAGGTTGTAAAGTTTTATGGGTTGTAGTTATGGTGTGGTCATGGTGGTTTTTGGTTTTCAGGTGCTTGCTCATATCTGCCTTTCTTGTCACTGAACCACATTCACATTCAATATGTTCTTTTCTATTTCGCTTGACTCATCTTTGCTGTTGATATATAGTTCTCTTCTCCTGTCATTTACTTGGTATTTGCTTTCATTGTATTGTTCTCGTCGTTTCTCATTGATTTAAGTTTGGTGTTTGTAATGTTGTCTTCTTGGTATTCTTTACGTGTTCTTCCCTCAACCTTCTTATTAACACAGTAAGTATTCTTGATGTAGTGTCCTTCTTGTTTTTGAAGCATTGCTTTACTTTCAGCAGGGTAGTTTTCAATCAGTTCAATCTTACAATTGTCAATGCCGAATTCATCAAACAGAAAAAACAACATGTGTATGGTTCTTTCCTGTTTTCAAATAATACGTATACTTTTCCCTATGCCCTGCCATTCTTTGACATAAACATTCGCAAGTGCTTCCAATATAACACTTGTTGTATCCAATGTCAGTGATTTTGTAAATTTTACCGTTTTCATACCTATTCATCCTTATTTATCTTATGTATTTATTCTTTAAACTGTTTTTTTCTAGAAGTATAATATGGCAAAACGATTAACAACAAATGATACTATAAGTAATGTATATTATGTCAAGGAAGGTTTCGGGTCTGTTCAGGAAACACTTAAGAAAGCAAAAATAGAAAGACCCATCAATCAATACAGTAGATGTAAAACAATTTATGGCAAAACAACCGAACAAACAGATTAGAAAGTATAGAGGGTATAATTCCTACACTGCTCCGTTTGCCCGATTCAAATACCAAATGGATATAATGGACATGGTGCCTTTAACCAAAGAACCTGAAGCAAAAATTCCACTGAAAAATGATGAACAAAGGTATGCATTAGTTGTCATTGATATTTTCAGTAAATTCGGGAATGCCCTTCCAATGAGAAACAAAGATTGGGTGAGTGTATTGAAAGCATTGAAAGAGACTTTTAAGAAGATGGGTTATTGTATGTCAATATATTCCGATGACGACGGTGCTTTGAGGAGCGTTGTTAAAGAGTTCTTTGACGCTGAAGGCATCAATCACATAATCACGCTAACACACGCCAACGTCGTTGAACGCTTCATCAGAACCTTAAAGAATATGGTTTATGACAGGGTGAGGTCTAATAAAGCAGGATGGACAAGTACAGTATGCTTCCACACGTGTTGAAGAAGTATAACAGTAGCAAACACTCATCCACAAAACTCCCACCCAACGAAGCGCACAACGACAAGAATCACATGGATGTAAGGGTAAATCTGACAAGAAGAAAAAAGAACACGAGGAAGTATGTTGAGATGAGAACGACACGGTCAAAATCTTCACCAAGGGAAGAAGCAACTACACCGACAGGAAAGAGACGACCAGGGTCTAAAGAAAACTACAAAGTCAGGAAGATGGAATACGACACGACGGGAAACAGAACCTTCAAACTGGAAGGGTTGACTAAACTTAAAAAAAACTTTCATATGGTAAGGCCAGAATCCGTGATTTAAAAAAATAGTCAAAAAAAAGTCAACTGGAAAAGTCAAAGTCAAAAAAAAATCAAATTGAAAGTCAAAAAAAAACATCAAAAAAAAGTCAACCATAGACCACAGCTCGAAAAAGTCAAAAACAAAGTCAAAAAAATGTCAAAAAATGTCGAAAAAAAGTCAAAACTGTGGCTCCTCGCCTTGGCGGATTACTGGAGTCAAGAAAAGTCAAAAAAAAGTCAACCGTAGGCCACAGCTCGAAAAAGTAAAAAAAAGTCTAAAAGAAGTCGAAAAACAGAGTAAAAAAAAACAAAAAAAGTCAAAAAAAAATCAAATTGAAAAGTCACAAAAAAGTCAAACAAAAATCAAATTGAAAAGTCACAAAAAAGTCAAAAAAGTCAAAAAAAAGCAAAAAACAGTCAAAAACAAAGTCAACAAAAAGTCAAAAAAAAGTCGGATCTGGGCAAATTGATTTTTTTTTGACTTTGAAATTTGCTGATTTGACTTTTTTTTGACTTTGACTTTTGGGATTGACTTTTTTTTGACTTTTTTTAAATTTAGAAAACAGGCTCTTTCCAATGAAAGATTTTTATACGACTAAACCCTTCCTTCGCCACGAGATTTTAAAGGTTTGATATTATATCATAAATTAGCTATTCGGGTATTCTGTGTAGTTCATCCTGTGTTTTCTTCCTTTGTTCCTCCCATCTGCCTTTACACGGTAGTCTCTGTGCGGTCTCTTTGTGTCTGTTTCCTACAATGCTATTACAATCTTTTTTACATAAGGGTCTGGGTTTCCAACTCTTTAGGTTAGTCGATATCCTCGTTCGCTTCCTATATTCAAAACCATACTGACAATAATCAACATCATAGCAATCAAAAACTTTCATAAAGTCCTGTTCCTTCAAAAGTCCTGTTTGAGGATGTTCTATGAAACATATTCTTGGTTGAAAATAGTCTATGATTTCAATAGTTTTCTTAACAATGCTGTTCGCATAATCTATATTTCTAACTCCCGTAGTTTTTGCTCTGCTATATTCCGTGCAAGGAGGTGATGCCCAAGTTATATCAAAGTCTTTTTCCCACTTCGTGTAGTTCCAGTGTAATGTATGTTCATTGATGTTAGCCTTCTTCAAATCTAACAATGCAACACTAAAACCGAAATCACGAGCAACTCTACCAACACTGCCTGTTCCACTGAAGAGTTCCAATAGTTTCATATTAAAATTTTATAGACTTTTAATATGCACGTATCATACTAAAACATACTTCCCCTCTTTTTCATCCTTAAAGATTTGGTAGTATTCAAGCGTCTGCTCTTTAGGTTGAGTGATTTTTCCTTTGTTAATCCATTCCAAGTACTGTTTTCTCTTCTCATCCCACGAACCAACGGGTCTTGCTATTTGCTTCTTTTCAAAGATTATATCCATCCTTTCCTTGTCGCGAAGCACACGAGCCTCTGGCGAGGCGTCATCCTTCTTCTCCTCCTTTTTAGGTTCAGTGAGTTTCTCCTCAATGGTCTTTAAAGTCTCCATTATGCTTTTTATGTTCTTCTTACGTCTGTTCAGTTTGTTTGTCAGTTCCGCCAGTTTATCGGTGTTTTCGTCCATATCACTCATATAATGTATACATATATATACATTTATTTATTTAGATATTTATTTATCAACTCTTTCCCGTCAAAATCTACTCTTTAGAACTTTTTAATAGTCCATCTCTTGTATAGATGATCGTTGTTTCTCACTTCTTGGCGTTGAACTCATCACATCAGCAATCCGATTGGTGCTTTCCTTATTCTGTGTCTTCTGGTGTCATTTGTCTGTTCCAACTGAATGAGATGCTGTGTGCTTCACTGTCTAATTTGATGTCTCCGTTGTCATCCCTGCTGACGTTCATAGTCTTTTCGCTCTTTGATGTTTTGAAAGAACACGGATTACAACTACACTTTATCCCTTTGGGCTTTATTTCTATTGTGTTTTGTAATTTAAGTTTTCCGTGGCACAAAGGACAGTCAAAGGTGATAAACTTACTCTTCAGTTTCTGTTCTTCATCCAGTTTTATCATTGTCGGTTCTTCATCGGACCGTTCAAAGTCTTCAGGTATGGGTGTTTTCTTCATATTCTTTTTTGCCGAGGCATCTATATATTTCATTGTAGATATAATTATAGACAATATGATTGATGCATAATGTTGTCTAATTAGCGCTGGGGTGGGCACTAAAAAGATGCTTGGCAGACTGAATTCACACGGCTGTAATCGGGGGTTTTCCAAATCTGAAAATTAGAGGCAGAAATCAAACTAATTAACGGCTTATGCGGATTGAAGCGAACTGTCCCTAAATGGTTTCCTTCAATAAGAATATATATAGACACGTTATTTTCTAAATAGTTTTAATATCTTTCAATGATTAGTATCAAACCCTATAAGCACAAGGAATACAGCAGTAAGCAATCAAAGTATGGATACATGGCGCCGCTTCCAGCGAGAATACTGTTGAACGCTCCATCGGGAACGGGTAAGACAGTAGCGCTGACAAATTTGATAATGGACATCTACAAAAGCTGTTTCGAAAAAATATACATATTTTCACCCACCGTCTTTATAGATGACACTTGGACGGTTGTAAAGAAATACATGGAAAGCGAGATGGATATTAAACACACCGACGAAGACCCCATCTACTTTGACAACTTTGAGGAGAAAAACCTTAAGTTTAAGAACATCATAGACACACAGGAATAGTAAAGTATATGAAGGAGAAGGAATACAAACATTTCTATAACATCTGTATCATCATAGACGACTGGGCGGACAACGAACGGGTCGTTAGAAAGAACAAGGAGTTAATCAAACTCTTCACGAAAGGGAAAACAAAACAGAACAGCAACAACAATCAGCCACCTCGTTGAATTATAGCAAAGATAGTTATTTTTAGCACCAAATTTTCCCCAGAAACCCCATAGAGAATAACGACAAAGGCTCAACAAACAATTTTAAGAGCCAAACAAATTCAACGAGGTGGTTGATGAACAAAAACTTCCCAGAACCCCCCTTTTACAATTTTCTTAGGGGTGCTCCTGTCACATCCACTCACTTGGGGACTAAACACCACCCCCGTCGAACGTGACTCCTTGTTGATACTGGATGGTTGTAATCCCAACCTGGTGATGTGACATCGATTGTAGCTCACAGTCTTCGACTTACAGCTGCTGCTTCTGACCCGTCACATCGATTGCCCTGTCGGCGCATCGGTGGCGCGCCGACCGTCGCTTTGATACCCGAGACGCGTAGTGAGTGGAAGGTTGTCTACGCTGCAAAGGTCGAACCCAAATGGGTGAGCAACGATCAAAAGGAACAACAATTCAGTTGGTTTTCGGTTTAAGGCGAGTTACTTTTCCAGGAAGACCAGCGGTAGCATCTGGACGACGATCCTTAGACTGCCATCGTCCAAATCCGGTAGAAAAGAGTGGAATCTGATGATGAGAGATTTATATACATAGATTTACATCATGTTTCATGTGTTGATCATGGTGTTAATATAATTTCAGTCACATGCATTGAACGGCATAGCACATTCCCCTCGTACTAGCAGCTGCACTTGCATCTCAGAACCTCCCGAGAGCTCTGAACGGCCGGGTATACGCCAATCCCATGTCCGAATCTTTACGCCAATCCCATGTACAGATCGCTCATGCCAACCACCAGAGTCCATTCTCTGACACCGCGCTGGCGCGCTGCCGGGCGTCAAGGCCAGGAAGGTCTTGGTCGGATCGCCCTTCGGATCCTCGCGATGGAGGGACCGGGAGTGGGAGAGAAGAAACAGGACACACTCTCTCACCGGCACAGGATGTGGGACCCTACTTGCAGCAGGCACCCGACTTCACAGCAACCCTCAAAACAATGAGACCTGTTAGGAACCCTGTTAAAACCCTCAACTAAAGACCTGTCAGTGAGGCTCCTGGTATTTAACATGTCTGAGATTAGGGGCCGGGAGGCAAATTCCACACTCCATATTAAACGATAACTTGGGAAGACTGACTCAAGAGTTTGTCTTGGTGTTTCTTTTTTGATGGCCTCACTTATCCTGCAACGAGATGATTGTAATTGGGAAGTACAATCACTTCAATGAAGAATATCCACAGACTGGTCCCGTCATGCCCCGTCAACATCATCTTCCAAACTGCAAGATCTGCTATGTGACGAAATTACAGGACTCTGGACTCGGGATTCACAAATCCCACATTAAGGGGGATGTCACGACACGTGGTTTGGTTGACCCGTGGAGATGGATGTCATACAAACCAATTGCCTAGTTGTGGTCTTTCGGAGATGGATGGACCAGTGGAATCTAATGGCACTTGCCCTCAACCCCATAGTTCACAACATCTCAGATTTGGGATTTGCCTTGAAGATGAGTTGAATGCACCATGCGATTGAAGATGAAGTTGCAAACCTAGACTCCATGGTTCTTCCAACCCAGCTGATTCTTCCAAGCCCACCCAGTGCTGAAGAACCCTGCTGTTCTCCTGCCAGTGCTTGTACAAGACCAGCACTCCCCCGAGGCTCACCAAGGCTGCCGGGAAGGCAATCCGGCGAAGGCTGTCAGAGGAGCCATGAAGACAACGCTGCACCTGCAGGGCTGAAAGGGCTGAAAGTAGCGTTGTCAGGGCCAAATTGAATGAACACCCGGTGAGAACAGCTTTGGGCTGTTGGGGGGTTGGTGGGGACATGTTTCAGGATCGAAGGTCAGCCAAGGAAGCACTGGAAGACGTGGCGTGTGGGTAGACTGTCTGCATGTGTGTTTTTGTTTAAAGTTTAAATGCTGCCGTAGGGTAGGAGAAGGACTTCCACTAACTGGTAATGGTAATGGTTCATGTGAGCTATGTTGTCCCTTTTGGTTTGGGTGGTTTGGGCTAGGAGTCCTTGCACAGTTCACGCATTTGAAGACCCAGTGCCCATGTGTCATTGAACTCAATGGCAGGACTTCTTGACATGGATGCAATGTGGCAGGGATTGCTGCTGCTACTGGGAACGTTGCAGTTTGGTTCGTCATTCCTTACGATGAGTCTCTTGGTGGTTTGGAAGAGTCTCTGAAAGGAGAGGCCTGAACCTTAGTCTTCAGTGGTGAAATGATGGGAAACGATGCTCAATATATATAAAGGGTCTCTGACAAGACTGACAGGAATGTATGCCAGAAAATCATTCAAGTGTGGAACCTTCATTCCGTCCTTGGCCAACAGTTTTCTAGAAGAGATAAACCCCCCAACTTTGCCATTCCTTGGCCTCTATGACTACTGAAGAGCACAAAATCGCATCTTGGCGCCGCAAGCATGCGATCACCTGAACCGGCCCTTGCCCAGTCGCACCTGCCATAAACGGTTCGCAAACATCGCGGGGGAACGCTCCCCTGTCACGCCGACCGGACTGCGCATGAGAACCACGTGGTCTTTTCGCTCGCATGGGGTTATGGTTGCCAACGGGGTTATGGATGAGAAGGACTACCCCAGCACCGCAGCAACGGTCCCCATCCAACGATCTTGGGCGGCGCTGTGGCCGGGAAGCTCCACGCGCGTACGCGCTGTCAACCAGAACCAGGCATTGGCTGCCGACTTGTGGAGCTGTGGGACCATCAAGCGACGAAACGTTCCACTTGTTGGTTGGGACTGATGCACCTGCACCTACAGCGCAATAGATGTAAGAGGTATACAGCAATCTCATCCAATCTCCAAGATCAATTTGAAGTTACAACCTTGGGAGGGAAATGCCGATTTCGTTGTTGACTTCAGGAAAAAGAACACAGCTGAAATATTCATATCTTTTTCCCAGCTACTCAGCCCTTTTCCAAGGCACTTTCGTCCCTTCCCGTTGCCCCCCCACACACACACCAACCAAGGGACACCTCGCACCGTGGTGCGCGGGCTCGCGCGAGCAGTAGTTACGTTATCCTTGGAGGGGGGTGGTTCGTGACTCGCGTTCCGGGAAGGGGTCTCCCCAGACATTGGGAACCCGTGCCGGGAGGGTCTCACAAGATCAGTTTGTAGATGGTGAGAAGACGAAACATTCAGGTGAAGCGGTCAGGAGTTTGGTCCACCTGGTACGGTGGCAAGGTACAGATCCAAGATGATCCAAGCGTGGTAACATCAAGGCATAGAGGTTGCAAAACTGGTTTGCACCCTGGATGCAAAATGGATCGATAAATATCAGTGTTGATGTGATTTGGAGTGCTAAATTGCATTCTGAGTCAGAAGGTGCCTGTCAGAAATTGGACATACATGTATGATCATGTATGCTATGGACATGACTTGCTGAATGACTTCTGTCCGTGAGGATGATACTTGGAGGCCTATGGTCTGACATGGGTCCCCGTGTCTGATCTTGACGACAGAACGCCCTTCAGCTCCCATCGGATGTCAGGAACCGCTCTGACCAAAAGATGCGTGCTGCGTGCCCTATACATTGTAGTGTTCCAGGTCTGATAGACAAGTACATCCAGGTCAGAATCCCCTGAAACAAAAAACACATAGTTATATTGGAACACCATGAGACTATATTTGGGTCCCCATTCCCCCATTCCAGATCCGACCCAATCCTGAAAGACCTCTGCACCGCCAAGGAGCTCTAATACATGGAGCGACGCGAGGGAGCCGCGTCCACTGCCCAGTGTGGTGTGGTCAGCCGCGAGTGGTGCGAGCCGATAATGCCAAATACACATGAAACGATTGAACAATTGTCTCAATGTTCAAAGGATCTGAGACGCCTGAAATATTCACCACTCTGATGTCAAAACCATTGTGGAAGATTTGTGTTGGTCACTTAGTGCTTCAAAAAGTGTTCCCCAAATGCTGGGAATGTTGGCTGTGGGGTCTTCAACGACCCACGGATTTCATCAAAACGACCGCAACATTTTAACCAACGTTTGTTCAAGAAAACGACCTGAGAGCTCAGACTTACTTCGCAAAAAAGACGTCGGACTTCTGATCATATTCTTTCTCATGACATTGGCTGCGGAATCGGGCCAGCGTGTCTGGTCCGGCACGGTGTGGCATGTGTCACGAGATGACTCCACGGTGCCACAAATTAAGTTGCACAACATGCACTGGACCGTTGTATAGTGGTCCCCAAATAGATAGTGGCATGGCTTCCAATATATTCTGAATGCGGGGATTTACTGTTCTATCTAGTTGGGGGTCTATATCGGTGGAGAAAACGGTGTCAGGTTGATGATGGACAGTGGGGGCAGTCATGTTGAATCTGATGGCAAGCCAGCAATTTCAAGAAACCAGTCAAGTAAATTATACCTCCAATATTCCAAATTAAATATATCCAAATATTGCTGCTTCTTCCGTATTCATCAAACAAATCAACATCAACCACATCATTATATATTATATATAATTCTGGCTTTTACAGTGTGATGCGTCACCAACTACATGGACCCTCTGCACAGTGGATACTTCGCTGCCCGAGCTCATTTCAGCTCATGGACTCATGGGGGAAGAGGCCTGTCGTCGTGCACCAAAGCCCTCATAGAAAGGGCAGCATTTCGAGAAAGGGATGCTTAAAAATGTTTAAATAGTTCAATCTGATGGTTCTAAGTTCTAACCGCTGCATTCTACATGGTCTTCTATACCTTCTATATGGTCTTCTGTTTCTGCACACCGTATATATATAAAGGTATGTAAGCTATGATACTGCGCCTGGCCATGTCGGACCCGGTGGTTTTGAGTCTAAGAGTCTAATCACGTCTTTAAGCTGCTTTCGGTGGTTTTGGTCACCCAAACGTTTGATGAAGTCGCTTCACTATGGGCAAGACCCACGTGCGGTCATGTCGCCGGCGTGGGGTCACCCTACGTATAGTACGACATGGTACGAGTTGGGAAACGAATGGATAGGCTAGGGCGAACATGGTGAAACGGTAGTGCGGCTCTAGATGGGTTTAGGTTTAGGATGGTTTAGGATTTGCATTTGGAGCATTTGGAGCTGAGAGCTACCTGAACCCATAGCGTTTTGGAGGGTCAACGCCTGACATCTCCTAATCCTCTAATCGTCCCGAATACGACTTACAACTTACGACTTCGCGCGCGCGGTTATTGGGGTTTAGCGAGCTGGATTGTGCCTGGCAAGTGGTGGAAAGTTCACTCCACAACTTGAATGCAATGCATCAGCATCGCCCCTTTTGGGGCAATCTGTTCAATCTGGGCCTGGCTCTTCCTGCCATCCATCCTATGAATTCCAAGTTGTTAGACTCGTTTAGACTCGGTTTTACCTATGAATCTGTGCTTCAAAGGACATCGATTTCTCCACTCTCTTGTGGCCTCCTCCTTGCCGCCTCCAAAGCCTCCACCTCGGAAGATGGAGGCCTCCATCCACCCGACGACTGGAGTGGAGGGACACGAAAAGGGAGAGGAATCACAGAGACGACTGGTGGATTGTTGTGGAGAATCGTCTAAATGCCTGAGCTTACATTGCAGAAATGTCGTATATGTGGTACTGTAAACAAGGTACATATGTCGTGCAGGCTGATGCCGTGCCGGATGTTCCCATCACCAGGCAAAGGCAGTGGTTTTAATACGTTTTCACTGTCACCTACTTCTCTCTCTTAAAATCCATGATACGCACGCAAGTGCCGCAAGAGGTTCTCCACTAAACAGATTCCCCAGCTCCTTAATCCATGGATGCATGCACCAACCTCTGCTCAACGCCCGAAGGATGCTGAAGGTACCGCAAGGTACCATCCATGGAACACCAGGAACTGCCCTGGAACTGCCCCCAAAACAGCTCATCATATCTCATCCACCAGAATTCACCACCTGTCATCTGTGTTTGTGAACAACAAGCTAGCTCTAGCATGCTCCAGCAACACAGCAGCATGTGCTGCAGCACAGCACCTCCTCCAAAACGCCCAACAAACGCCCTCCCTTCGCCCTCCCGTCTCACCTGCGTCTCACCCACCGAGGTCCCGCGGATCCCACCGAGCTCTCTCCAGGGTGCACTGGAGCGGAACTCCCGTTTGGACATCACCCGGAGGGCCGAGACCTCGAGCTTTGGGCGCCCCGCGCGCGCGCGAAGCTTGGGGGCGGTCGTGCCGGTCGATCTTTCCGGGGGGGGGGGGGTCTCTGGGGCGGTCGTGTGGGTCAGGGTCTCTGGGGGTCCAAGAAGGGCTCCGAAAAAGTGATGATCAAATGATGATCTGCAGAGTCCTTGCATGTTCTTGCTGACCCGAGTTGACAAATGATCTGTGTATCCGAAGATCGGAAGGGATATGGTGCTGTTGTTTGTGTGTTTCCAAGGGTATCCCTTGGAGGCCCTATACGGAAAGTAATCAAGAGCACAGCAGCTAGCACCTCAACATGCCAAAAAACACCCTCAGTAGCACCTTCCCTTTGGATCAGTGCTTTGTGGATCTTTGTATCAGCGCTACTCCTCAGGTTGCTTTGTCGATCCGATCCCAGGATTGATATCGGATCGCGATGGATCCCCGACACCCTTGTGAGTCCTACAGATCGAAAATGAAATCCAATCGAAGTCTCATGCGGTCAGCATCTCAGGCGGAGACTTCACATGTGTTTGAGAGAAACAAGACTTCAGAGTGACCATCTACAAGAATCTACAAGGATCTCCCTCTCTCTCTCTATCTATGATCATGGAAGTGAAGAATTGCCCCTTGGATAACCATCTTCCTCCAAAAAATAGAGGTGCTTTTCCACTTCCATGATGATTCCAGGGAGTTTATGTATATGTTCCTTTTCCAGGAAAACGGCACTTCAGGCTACAGACTGCTGGAGCCCGCTTCCGGCCACCCCACCCCACTTCCCCGCGCCTGCCATTCATCTCGCTCTCGTAGGACCTCTTTGAGGTCCTCGGAAGGTGGGCCTTCTCTCGCCTACCAAAGAATCTATTGACCTGACCAAGTCCCTTCATTGTAGCAAGTCATTATAACAAGTCGCCTACCAAGTTACCAAGTCTGCTATGTAAATATACATCTAAATCCCGAGAACCCTGCAGTCAACCTCTGATTCTAAAGGCTTCTGCACGAGGTCAACCGCGGACGCACGACGGCGGGAGAGTCCTTGCGAAGCCCATCGCGCTCCTCGCCCAAGGTCCGCAACTGAGCGGCAGCCAGGACGTCATTCTGAAGTCATTTTGGAGTCCAGTCCGGTGACTACACCATGCAAGTATCTTTCAAACAAAAATATATAGAGATGAGAGCTGTATAGGAATTGGTAGCGCCAAAAGTGAAATTGGCTCAAACATGCTCAAACTTCCTTCCGCATGTGGAGGGTGTACGGTGTGAGTAAATCCTCTGAAAGAAGTACATGCTGACCCATCCAAGGTATCCAAGGTCCTGGCATGGGTGGGACATAGCTCTAAGGACCCTCTCTGACATTCTGATGAAACAAAATTACTCCTCATGTGAGTGAACGTTATCTTAACATATTATGTCAACTTGTTTGCCAAAAGTAGGAGGTACGTAAGGGGCCCCACGACTGGCAAGGAGATCTGGCTTGCATTGGCTTCTCACCCCCGGTTGCACGCTTCGATTGTATGCTTTGTATTTAAAAAAAGAACACACTGATGGCCACCCACAGCCATCGGATGGTTGAATGCACGAGGAACCGAGGAGATCCCCAAACCAGTTTGAATGCGAAGTTCGGTGCCTTAACGATCCACCTTCTAAGAGGGGTGAGCAAAGAGCAGACTGTTGATGTAGGCACCATTGTCGGGCCCACTCGTAGCTTCATGGATCCTTTAGGGGTGAACCACCAGGCCCTTCGGCTCAAGCTGCTTCAGCCCAGCCAGGCCTGCTGCTTCAGCTTTTCGATCTCCTCCTCCTGCATGATCACCTGCGCATCACTCACATGTAGCCACCCAACCAGGCAAATTAGGACAGTAGATTATTTGCGACAGATGGACTTTCGACATTTCAGCCACTGGCAAGAAGGGGACCCCCAGTAACGAACCCCTTTCATTATGCAAGGTCATTTTCACCGCACATGAATCATGTCTTTTGCATGTTCTTCCCCCAGCACGTGAATGATTGATCCTATCCTGGAAGTCTAGCAATATATGTAGCAGCGTAGCAATTGCGCACACCGAGAGTCCACCTTGAGTCCTTCCAGCTTCGCTTGTTGCGTCCAACTCCATGTCTCACAACTCTCAATCTCCATGTCTCACTTCTGAGCATGTCCATGATCCCAATGTTGAGTGGGTACCGGATCTCTCTTGTTCAGGTGGCTGCATTCGCAGGCTTCACAAGACCCAAATTCAAACGACCTCAAACCAACCAACCAGCCAACCAAGCAAGCAAGCAACCCACCAACCAATTCTCCACCTGTCCATCCCAACCTTGGAGTTCCAAGCTTCATGGCGATCTTCACACACCTGGCGGTCTCCCGATGCGGTTCTTCGCTCGACCAGCGCGCCCGGCGACGTCGAGAAACGAAACCCGTCGAGAAACATCGACGGTCTTCGAAAGACCCGTCTGGACCTGCCATCATAGAGACAAGAGCGAACAGTGGTCGGTTTCAGACTACGGACAGCTCTGACAGTCTGAAAGTCAAGCTGTGACACTCGTGCTTGACAAGTGGCTTGACAGTTGTGGCTTGTGGTCAGAAAGGGTGGCGATCAAGTCCAGTTCGCCCATAGAATCCATGTAACATCTCATGAGAACCAAAAACCTACCGATCATGCGTTGAGAGTTGAACGCATTCTTCGTTGCATACGCTCCAGGTCCGTGTTGGAGGACAGGGCCCATTCCATGTAATTGAGGTGTGACTGTGATGAAGCTCTACTATATTTGAGAACTGCTATATACTATCTCTTAGCTCAAATCGATTGGTTCCACTCATTCCACGCCGACCTACGCCGACCTGCCGACCCCGGCGCCGACCGGACTCGACGTTCGCTTCTTGGAACGTGGTTAAGCCACGCGCGGCGCAGGGGAAGCGCCTTGAGATCCTCCAAGAACTGCTTCTGTTGCTGGAAATACCAGGACAAATCCTGCGGCTCCTGGAAGGGCGAACTCCAGGCGAGGGGTCATTGGAGTCCGAGTGCCATCAGCAAAGCAAGGCGATCAGGTGAGCAGTGAGCAGGACTTGACAGACTGAGTCCTGCTGCCAAGTTCCACATGCGACATCTTGACGCTTGATTTTCACAACATATATTCTCCAAACTTTGCCACACATGCAACTGCACAATATAGCAAAGCCTGACGCCTGACACCCAGGTTTACGTCTCAACACAAATATGCAAAAGTGGTTGATGAATCTGGCTGCATGGTGAACAAATGTGAACAAATCAGTCTTCGTAGCTCACCCCGCACCGCCCCTCGCTGGATCGGCGAAACCTTTTTGCCCTCCGGTGATCTCCGGTCAGCCTCGTTGCCTCAGTGGTTGGACCTCCGAAGATTCTCCTGCAGAGTGTGGACCTCCATTCCGAGGAGGTTGCCATCCATCTCGTCTCTTCAATCCATCTCATCAACGGATATCTTCAGCGCCCCATCGAGGAGACGAGGAATCCATCTCATCAACTCATATCAACTCCATCTGACTCTCTGGTCTGGACTCTCCTCTCATCCATTCTTCGCGAGCTCAGCTCCACTCATCTTCACCAAGAACTGTGCCCGCCCGTCGTCTCCACTGCACAGCTCGCACTGCGCAGCTCGCAGCTGAGGCATCAGGCCGAACTCCACGCCTACGCTCGGCCCGCCCCGGCGGTGGATCGTCGTTGGCCACGTCCTCCAGACGGTGGAAACAGGTGGAGAAGCAACAAGGCTGAAAATCCTGGCAAAATATCGACGATAATTAGACCTAGTAGAGGAAACCTAGTGCCGGGCCCCTGGTTTCTTGGAAAGATCCCCAAAGGCAGCAAAGTATGGGCCAACTTACGTGAGCCAAGCAGCGCTCCTGCGATTCGCCTGCGCTCTTTTGTATTAATTCATTTGCACTCTGTACATTAGTTGTCCCTGCACCGCGAGACATTACTTCCTTCTTGAGTATCGAAACATGAGCCCACAAAAAGTCCTTGATCTTTGCATGTGTTTGAAACACAACCGCTTTTATCATGCACATAATTCGGACTATGTATCACTGATTTCTTTCATATTTCATTGTTGTTGAATACACGGTCCTTTTTGAATTACATTGTTGCACTCACGATGCTATTTGATCTTTGTGGATGTCAATGACTTAGTCAAGTAACAAGCCCAAGCCTCATCGACAGTGATCGGTTCAAACTAGATCCGAATCTCCCAGCCATTGAGCTCTCGCCATGACTACTCCAGTGGACATCCCCATTGCACACCGCCTCCTATTGGCACACTTGCAAGCAGCCGCATCCATTGCAACAGCACTCCAGAACAACCTCACCATCCCCAAGACCAACTGACCGCTCACCATTCCATTTCTCGCCCACTCCTTCCACACCAACACTGAGAAGTTCTCTCACCCGCAATCATTTTAACCAGGTCGTTCCAGTCCACCCACCCATGTTGCCGCATCCGCGAAGCCGCTCACAAAACACTACGGTCCAAACTCAACAGCATCTTGCAGGTCCTCAAGGATGAGCACGTGACAAAAGAACAGCTACAGGAAGATGCAACACGATATGGCCTATCACTCGCTCGTGTGCTCAAGCGACCCCCGACAGCACTCCAACACGTTGTTGCTTTTAGGAGCGGCACTCTCTGCTTGACTCTGCATTCAAGCGCAATTTGTGGGTGTCATTGACTTGCAACAAACTCAAGCCTCATCGACACCTTGCACAGCTCCCCGGTCAGCTATCCATCCCTACCCTATGGCAACAACTCCATGACCATCTTCGCACCACACCAGAGGACCTGCAACTGTCGGCCATCAATGATGATCTAGTGGGGTTCTTCAATAGTGTTCCCCAACACCGGTTGGTCGATGCACAAAAAGGCAGCTCCAACATACCACCACCACCCTCACGATTGACGTTCATACCACCGGCAATCCCATTCAACAATCTCACATCGGCCGTCATTACAAACACCACTGCCAGCAACGCACCCTTGACACCACTCACATGCCCACCATTGTTCAACAGGCCTTTCACACGTGCATTTGCCAGGCCTGCAACACATCTTGCCATCTTGCCAACAAATTCAAGGTGCGGGCGTCGGCAGCCAACTCTCACCAGCACTTTGCGACGTCGCGATCACGTTGATCACTTGACATGAAACCTATCACACCTTTCTCACACAACCCTCCCTTTTCTCTTTCAACACCAGATACGTTGACAACAGATACATTTTATCCTCTGTCGCACCCAGATTTCTACGGCCACCATCCCGTAGAAATAGAGCCCGTGGAACACGATCACCTCTTAGGTTTTCGCACCAACCCCGCAACATGCACCTGGCAGCTCAGAGATGCCTACTCAGCAGGCAGCCAACGACGACTTTTGTCCGGACTTCAATCCCGCTCCCATTCCATCCGCAAGGACCCCTTTCCGGCATCAGCTATAGGGTGAACAGGCATTGGCACGACTATACACGGCAAAAGACCACTCTGAGAGACTTTGTCTTGCAGCGCAGCGAACAAAAAATAGAGCAGCATCCGGCGCCCCTGCTACGCTTCTTGACCACCCCTCGCAAGCAATTACAGGTGCTTACTTGGTCCAAGCATGTTCTTTTTATTACCTACCTTCCACTAGCTGCGCTGACTCGACTCGTTGTGTGTGCTACCTCCCGTTTCTTGGGATTCTACTCTCCGACCACTACAATGTTACAAACACACTTGTACAGCCTTCAATGCCAGGAGCACGGGCACTGAGCACTCCTTGGTAAACTCAGTGCAACGAAGCTATGCCTTGGAGTGGGAAGCACGGATTGATCACCCGTGTGTACCTGCATTTTAACCACTGTTTCACTCATTCTTGTGATTCTAAGTATTGCTTAACGCTGTCTCATACGTCGTTTCTGCATTAAAGGGCTAGTGCGCTCTACTCGGGTAATGCAGTAACTAGCCCTAAAGTGCTAATGCTCACCGCGAAGTACTGAACTTCTGCTCTCTGGAGCGCAATTCTGAAGCATGTGTGTGTGTGTCACCTCCATTATCCAGGGACTCTACTCTTTCCTCCCCTCTCTTTGCCCTACCATGCAACAATTCACGCTGTACAGTCTCAGCAAGAAGGGGAGCACAGGAGGCCCATAGAGCTGTGCCCAACGAAACTCTCTATGGTGACCTCAGGATATGCAGCCTGATCAGCTGCACGTGCCTGCAATTGCTTTACCCTTTGTCTTTGTGAGTCTACGTAGTGATCAACGCTGTCTCATACGTTGTTTCCACATTGAAGGGCCAATGAGGTAAATCGCTAATGCAACACCGCGATCTCCACTGAAACTCTGCTCTTTAGAGCTCTATTCTGATGCGTGTCTGTTTGTGATAGAGTAGCGCAGCATTGCTGGCAAATCTTGACAACATCTTCAGGTTAAAGTAGTTGGTTTCATCAAACTTGTAGCTTGTGCCAAGTCGTACCAGAATATCATCAAGGCAAACAAAAGCAGCTACCAAAACCACCGCAATCTTTCGTGCCAGTGGGGAGGGGAGGGTGAACCAGATTGCAAACCTTCTCCAGATCTCTTCATCAGTGTAACAACTCACGAACAAAATCATTGGAAAGTATAGTCGTCTCCTCCAGCACATCGGCGACAGCCTGCAGCATGTGACCTACATGGCCGTGGCGTTGGAAGGACGCCCGAAGCGGTGCTGGTCGGCTGGCCAGTCGGCGCCGCCCTCTGCACCCTTTGACAAGCCCTGCGCACTGCTGGGAGCGGAACCTGGGCGAGGCCACGAGCATCTGGTGCCACAATGCTACCTAACCACGAGTGTAGGAGGCTTTTGACATGCTGGTGTTCCTAGCCTGCATGACTATCGTTCTAGTGCATTTTAGTCACACATTCTGACCTTCTCACGATTCTCAACATCCGCAATCACATCTCATCTCCGCACTAGGTTTCCTACCTGTCCACATGTTGATTTTGGAAGGACTCCGAGTTGCTCAAAACACCAAACGTCGAGCAGCTTGAAAGTGCTCTGTATATATATATATATATTACACTTATATATTCTGTATATATATTTATCAGATCTATCAAAGTGTCAAATGCTCAGAGTCCTTCGAAGAACTCTTTGGTTAAATACACACATGGTTTCTGAACAATCAAATCGAGGAAAAGAGTTTGATGCCTAAACAGCTCCCTGTTCCTTTCCAAGGCGCCGCTTTCATTCGCCGCACGCGAAGCAACCTCACAAGGCACTGACTACCAGTGACTTACCAACTGAGACATGCATCTGGTGATGAATTCTTTGTTTCGATGGGTCAGTCCGTGTTCCATAAGTTTCTGTTCATTCTGTTCTATCCATAACACATTCATTGGAGACACGCAAGTTAACTTGTCAAACTTGAAGTTGCACTGAAAAAATCTACGGCTTATGCAACTGTTCATAAATGTGCTGGAACATTCCAATCAATCGCTGACATAATGATGACATAGTTCGTCATAGCTTTAATTTTGTTCTTGATGCTCCAAAATGTTCCAATCATAACAAAAGAAAAGACTGCAAAACACCTCAGTTTCACAGCTGCATCAGCAGCCCACATCTGGCTTTGCTAAAGCCTTCCTTCAATCAAACACTGCGGTCTTATCGTTCATCTTTTCGGTTCCCAATCCGGGTCGACGTTATGTCTTTTGTTGACTCTTCCGATGTCTTTGATGCATCACCACCGTCCTGCCTGCGCTTGGCCCGCCCCCGCGGCCGATCGCCGCTGTTGATTATACAGTTCCAAATGCCATGTTGCAGTGGGCGCCGAGGTCCTCCAGACCATGGAAACATGTGGAGACGCAACAAGGCTGAACATCCTGGCAATATCAACGACAATTAGACCTAGTAGAGGAAACCTAGTGCCGGGCCCAGCCTGGTTCCTTGGAAAGATCCCAAAAATAAGAAGAAAATAAGAACAACATGGGCATACGAGCGTCTTCAGGTGCAACCATGGTAGAAATGAAGAGTCTGGTCTATGCCCGTTGACATTCCCAAACCGATTGGACCTTTCTGGGCCTCAGCATTGGTAAAGAAAGGTCTAGTAGTCTAGTTGGAGTCTTTATCCACTGATCTTGGCGCGGATTAGCAGGCACCTCGAACAAGATGGTCCTATGAAACCCTGGACTCACGGTAGGCATCCGGTCTCCAGATCTGCTTTTGCTTCTCCAGATCCGCACAACCTCGGCCATCACCAGCCTCTCCTTTCCAACAAGAGCTTCATGGTGTGGAAGGCCTCCAGTGACGCTGTATGGCCCACGGACACGTAGCCATCCACATGCCTGGAGCATCTGAGGATCGAACGCTGCCAGTTTGACGTCTGCGAAACAGGGTCATTCTGAGAATCAACTTCTTTGGAAGATTTGGGAAGGCATGACTGTGCCTCTGTGAAGGTCCAAAGAGAAGGAGTTCGGAACTTCCGTGTCCACTGTGTCCACTGTGTCTTCCCGTTTTCATTTCTTCCATGCCAGAACTGGAAAGAGGCGAGCCTCATATTCTCCTCATCTTCATCCGTTCCCTGATATTCTCCTATTTCCTCTCAAAATAAAACAAGACATTCCCCGACCCTCTGCGACCCTCGAGCTCGCTCGCCAGCCCGGCCAGCTCAGCCCTGGCCTCTGAAGATTACAGTACATCGCCTCCTGGTTTTGGCTGTCCAATGCACTGGTGGCTTCATCCAGAACTGCGAACTTCCTGGAACGTCAGTGGCCAGAGTCAGTGGCCACGACGTCAGCAATAGAGGCTTTTCGGATCGCGAAAGGGTACCCCATGTGACGGGACCTGGATGGTCCCAGTAGTTCACTGGGTACCCCAGTAGGAACTGGCTCCTCTCTTGGTGAAGAGTGAGTGGTCGTGAACTGGGGTGTCATGCGATGTCATGAGAGATGTCCGCAACACAGGGCAACATAGGGCCGGGCTGTCCAGGGCAGGAGTCTTAGACTGGTCTGGTCTCAAAGAGACAGTCTTACAAGTATAGAAGAAATCAACACAAAGGTGTTGACAATCGTCCCATGGTAAAATAGTGGAACACATACAGTTGGCATACTGACAGGCTGTTTTCAGTTGCAAAAGTACAAGGGGAAATCTCTTCGCAACGTGCAGCACTGCTCTGCCAAGGCTGCCATGCTGATCATGATACAACAAGAGATCCAACTCTGCAAGATCCAAAGCGTACATAATTTGAGGCATGGCTGGGCAGAGTCCCAACAAAAGAACGTGTCAGTTCCATGGTGTCGTTACTTCTCTCATCTCCATTCCTCCATGGATCTCCATGGACCCATCCGAAGCCTAAAACCCAAACCGAACCCACCAGGCGAACCCTCCTAACCCCTCTCACCCACTGAAGGCCTCGCCATGTCTACCGGGTCTCCACTGAGTCCTCCAACCGTCACCGTTGAAGGCCACGGCACGGCTTGGCCACCAGCAGCCGGGCGAAGCCCAGCCGTTGACGTTCCCCGCCACTCAGGCAGCTGTCGAAGTCGATCGGCGCCTCAAGGCCTCGACGCGGCTTGCGCGCCGGCCGTGCGTGGCGCGCGGCACGCGGGCGACGCGGCAGGCGCTGCCGCCGCGGGATGCGGGGTTAGGCCGGAGTGGGGCGGTGGAGGGATGCGGCCAAGGTTTGGAGCTGGGGATTGGATGGGATTCGGATGTTGATACTTGTTTCATCTTTTTTCCCCTGTAGATGAGATGAGAGAGGTCTTATTGGAGGCGATCACTTGCTCGTATTTGCTCCCCCAAAGCACTTCTGGCTCCTCCTCGCCACTCAAAGAACATTCCACCAACCCTCAGCGACAATCCATCGCATCCTAAGCCGCGAACCATAGCGCGGCAGCAAGTAGGCGAGGTTCACATCTTCCAAAGCTTGAATGATCTCCTCATCTTTGGGGCTCTCTGACAGCGCCTGACCGGGCGAGCGTGAAAAGCGAGCGTGAAAAGCGTGAACAGCGATCGCCGTTCTCCAGTCACCGTTCTCCAGAACACTGGCCACCTCCAACCACCTGCGAAAGGATGCAGCTTTTTTCAGCGACTCTGAAATGTTTGAAATTGAATTAGTTTATACGTACATATAATCATATATATATATATAATTAACTTCAAAACAAAGTTCAAATGGGTTCTATGTGTGTATATGCGATTGCCCTGATCTGTACACAAGGCCTTCGGGTAGGTGGCATTGTCCCGCAAGGAGCCCAAACAAAGGTACGTCTCCTTGGCGTACGAGGTGGTCTACCTACCTTGTTCTGAGGATTTAGCTGAAGCCCTAGGAAAAAGCACACATCCAACAAAGTGGAGTGTTTGCAATTGACAAAGGTGGTTGTCCACAATATAGATTCTTTGGAAGTAAAATCTGACCATGGTCACTTGAGAATGGCATGTCATTTGCAGAGCTCAAGCTCAGCAATACCCTTGCTGTGTCTATCTACGAATCTACAAGCCCATCACGTCCTGGTTGTGAGGGATGGAAGGATAGATCAGTGGAGACTGTCCACACGAGTAAGTGCGAGTGTTTACTGTCTGAAGTCTGACATGAGAACCATGAACACTGGATGTTCTGCCTTGGGTCAGTGAGTTTGGACGCAGAACGTGAAACGACACTTCTTGTTCGCCGCCCCGCCGCCGATGGGTGACACACTTTATCTTCGTGCCCAGCAGGTCAACTGTCAGCGAGACTTACTCAAACTATAGAGTAACTTAGAGTAACTTCACTATACACAACGTCGACAATAGAAGAGCATAGAAGAGCTACAAGGAACAAGAAGCTACGATCGGGGCTCCTGGCATCGCTACTAGGAGCAAACACGCTACGAACGGGGCTCCTGGCCGTACTACTAGGAGCAAGGACGCTACTAGGAACAAGAAGCTTCAGGGGCTAACTTCACTATACACAATACTAGTACATGTAACTCAACAGGTTGCAAACGAACTTCCCCACCTAAATACATCCACTCCACGAAAAAAACACACCCACCGGGGAACCCCGTGGACCGGGACCGGAACGACGGGTACGACCGGTGCACTCCTGCGGCAAGAAGAACATCTCGTGTGGAGCGCAGCGACGGATCGTGCCACTTCCTCGGTGTCTGTCCCAGGGATGGAATAGCTCACTGGACTTCCGAATCATGCATGTGAATCGGTGATGATCTCTTGTTTCATTCTGATAACAACAGTTTGAGGAGAGATGGCAGTTTGAACACCATGTGTGGGATGATCTGCAAACACCCAGGCACCAAAAAGTATACAACTGATGGGAGGAACTCCAAAACAAATCGATCAATGGATACTCATCATTTCCCCAAGTCCGCAATTCAAGCTGCTCTCACTTGATCTTGTAAACCAAGTACTGACCAGGATGGACGGAGAATGTTCGGAGCAACCAACAACCCAGCCAATACCTTTCACCTGCTGGTGGGTTTGAAGGTCTAAAGCAGCAAGATGTGCATGACCAAGCACGGAAACTCCACTAACTTGGGCCGTCAAACATGCTCAAGAACAAGAACCATACCGATATCAAAGCCCATCAGTGCTTGCACGAAGAAGAGGACGCTCTTGGGATCACCTCTTCATGAATCCCATCTGCGCCAGGCGACCTCGATGCCAAAGCCCCGCGAGGCCCCGCAGCAACGAGCTCTTGCCCACCTCGGGGACCACGCGACGTGGGTGTCCCGCGGTGATGGGGAGTGCAGTGGAGTGGCCACTGCAGTGAGGGGTTGCATGAGCTCGTCGCACGTTCCAAAAATGCCCTAACTGTCTACATATGTCTCCTGTGTCCACTTTCATACAATTAACACATCTTTAATTCATCTTAACACTAATTTATGTAAACCTTCAAGGGCACCCCGGACTGGTGACTCGCTGACGTGCAAAAACATGTTGCAAACATGAGAATCAGCTATAAGCAGGGCAAGACAAGACCCTATAGCAATTGGCTATATCCATTTCATGAAAGTCTCTACTGTACTAGTTGGTGTAGTAGATCTCAGTAGTGTGATCATAGGATTGTATAAGTACCCCCCTTTTGATGTCCTTTCCGGCATGAAGGTTCCTCTCTTTCTCATCCAGGCCACACCACTGGGTCCACAGAGCAGCAACGAGTCGCCTGCACGGTCCACGTCGTGCGAGTTTCGCGGAGAGGTCATGAGTTCACCGGCCGAAAGAGGTCGAAACGTCTCTCAGAACAGATGTTCAGAAGCTTCACCGGTGTTCTTTTCTGGGGGTATATCACTGGGGGGTTCGTTTTCCACGTCTATTCACTGGTCGGTTTTTTGTCAGGACGTATGCCTTTTTTTGAGATCCATCCCTGCGACGCGGGCCTCAACAGGGAGGAACGAGCAGTACTTGATCAGGAGGATTGAGCCCACAATGCAACTAAGTTCAGCCAAGAACGGTTCTCCACGGTCTCCACACCAAATAAATCAGCTCCCAAATTCCTTGCACATCCCCCAAACAACCACGCAAGCCTTTGATCCTCTAAATCCACGTGCCAAACCAACCAAGCACCAGTGGAATGCATTACCTTCAACCCTCCTTCCACCCTCCTTCGACCCTCTTTCCGCGGGCTGCGCCCGGGTGCGAGACAGAACCACCCCCCCCTTCACCCCATCCTCTCAATCCTCCCCCATCGACCCGGGACGCCGACCCGCGAGGGCCTTTGAACAGTTTGAAGGTGACCTTCTCGACCAACGGCCTCGGACCTGCACGGGCTGCCGGTGGGAGGGCGGTGGATGACATGAGGTGGAGTGAGCCAGAACTAGTTTTGCCCACTTAATTGTTACTGGATTATGATGTGGGGTACGTGTGTTGTAGAGGCATGCCGTCTATTCCGACAACAAAACTCCATGTTTTGTGCAATTGAACGGTTGGTTTAGTTGGAATATCATGTTTTCAACCATCCTCCGCTCTCCCTGGGAGGGCTGCCACCTTCACGCGATTCTTATGGCCGATTGATGCCAACTGACACTTCCAATCCACATCAGCATTGGCTCTAAAGATTTGGGACTCTCCCCCCTTCATTCAAACTGCAAAGGTGGGCCTGCTGAGAAAGGACGGTCTCCAAGAAACAGAAGCTCCTCCAACAAACTCTCTCCAACAAACTGCCAGGATTGGGCTTCTGAAACAAACATCGCGAGGTGGGCAGCGACATTGGAATCAAGAGCTGTGGGTTTGGGGTGATTTGTGTCATGCTGCCCCAGACTGTTCAGGAATAGAGGAAAAATCTCCAGGTGATCCCTCCTCCAGCGAAGGTTTTTCTTTGGTCTCCGACATGACGGACATTTCCGTGGTCTCTGACCCACCCCGAGCTGGCTCACCTCACCAAAAACGAGTCGATCACGAGCCTCTGGGAGTATAGATGGTCAACTCGTCCAGGTCGAGCAGCACCTCGTCCAGGTCGGCCGAGCCGAGCAGCATCTCTGACGATCGGAAGCAGCAGGCCGATCGGAGGGAGGGAAGAGGAGAACGGGTAGAACGGGTCGAACTTGACAGATCCCAGCATGGTGGTTCGATGTTCATGTCTTGAGACCTATCCTGCTCCTCGTGCCTAATAGGCATTGAATCTGATGATGATCAGTGGGACCAGATCTTGTTCAACATGACAACCTCTAAAATATAATCACTTAGAGTTCCAACAAAATCCAACGATATGGCAAACCTGGAGGAGGGTTAGGAAACCTGACTTCCCAGTAAGTGTTTTTCAGCAAATTGAAGCAATGTTCTGGAACCTCCCAGCACCTTTCTACGCTGCTACGACCCTTTTCTCAGTGTAACTTGGCCATGGGTCCAGTTCAGTCCCAGTCATGAACACCCAAACATGCACAACGGTTTGCCCTTGAACCCTGCGGAGCATGACTATACACCGCCTCCCACAAAAATAAGGAATACATCTCCACCGGAACGACATCATCGCTTCTTTGCCCCATCTCTTGTATTTGCGCAGGTGGACCAGGTGGACCGATGCCGCCTTCGTCCGCACCGCGTTTCGCCCCACCGCCGCTGAGCTCGTGACGCCCTGCGAGACCGCCGAGTTGATCCCCGTGTCATCCAGGTCGGTCTCGTCCTTAACACCGCGGTGTGGACCCAACGCACTCGGTGTCGACCCATGCTGTCCGGTGTTTGACCCATTCTAACCAATACAAATGTCCATGAAGAACGGCGCGGCATGTTCAACACCTGAATCGGACCGTGCAACACCTGAGAAAGCCACAAAACGAGGCCAGTGGCGGTCATGTTGAACCCGAAAACGTATGTTGGACTCTACAAAGAGGTCCACTCGATCGGTCGAGTTAGCTCCGAAAAACCGTCGAGTTCGTGCCACCGAGGCGGCCCAACAAGCTTGCGAGTGATGCCACAGGTTCCTATTGCATCTTTGGCGAACTCACAAACAAACACACATACTAAAAAACATTAACACCAGCAGGCTCTGTTCAAAACCCCCCCACAGCCTATAATTTATCACTGTGTTTCTTCAAAAACTTCAGCCTAGCCTATCGGCTGGCTTTCGTAACAATTGGGTATATCCTTTTGCCTGTGGATGATGATGGTGAGTAAAGGCCTTTCTCAAAAACAGTGATATCTTTTGTTCCGACTGTTGCTGGTCATGGGACACACCCATTAACACAAGCTAGATAATAACCTCCAGTCTCCATCTGAAAGCCTTTGCCAAGCAACAAGCATGTCCCAAAGTTGCTGGATACGAATGGCTTGAGCTCCCATGTTGGTGATAGAGCCTGAGACAAAGCAAGGAGCCATTTCCACCAAAAAACGACTGTGGTTTACATCTGGCAATCTCAGTCTGATCTAGCTTCCTGTTTACAAGAGATTACTGATTCGATTCCTACTCTAATTCCTACTTGCAGGTGTCTAGCACTTCCGTCCACCAGTCGCCTCACCTCCAAACCCGGACACTCCTTTCGTCACTCCCAGCCACTCATCTGCGTCACCAGCGTGGTGAAGGCGCCCTGCAGGGCGCCCAGGACGGTAGCGGCCTCCATCATGGCGCCGAAGTCCATGGAGCCACGGAAGTATTTGTCTCGCGCGGGTGCCGCGCGACGAGAGACGTTGGAGCCCGGAGCCCACGCGCGACGAAGTTTCGGCGCGCCGACACGAGCGGAACGCCCCGGAGAGCGCCCGGTCGTCTGGAGCACGGAGAGAATGAGTCGGCCATCCGTTGGGTGAACTGGGTGGAGAAAGTAGTGAAGAACAACAGCGGCAGGTTATAGGAAGGGCTAGTCGACGAATCATTCCCATTTCCTGTTTTGACCTTGTCTTTTGGTTGGCTCTTTTGTTTCACCATGTGAAACGCCATCTGCGCCTGCCAAAACGATGAAGGGCGCCACATTGGCGATATACCTTAAAGCAGCAAAGAAACAGCGGCTCACCCCACTTGGCTTCTCTTGCATGTCCACTCTGCGTGCTGAGTTTGTTTCAATGTACAAAAATGATTAACCTCCAATGATCACACTATACACCTTGGAAAACCCTGCATACCCGGTCCAGCCATGCAACTGCAACCCTGCAATGTCTGCATGGAGCAAAAGTGGACCATACAAGTACCTGAATTTCAACATGGAAAATCCAATTCCACTACCAATGGATATTCAACATACTCAGAAATGCCAGACGCTGGACCCATTTGAGGACCCCATCCACTATGTTATATAACATAGTTATATATTTACCTTAAAAGGACGGAACCATCTCCGCTCCGGCTCACCGTCCGCCGACCGGCCGAGACGCTGTGCTGCGGCCTCGATGAGGCCGAAGCTGATGGAGATGTACAGCAAACCTGATGGAAACGCATGGATTGGTCATGCAGAGTCATGCAGTTGGAAACGATGTGTTTTCGTTGGTCTTGCAATCCGACGAACCGACGAACCTAAGAATCTAGACTTAGACATGTCTTAGACAGTTCTCCAGACTTGCATCCCAACTTCACCAGCTTCATCCAGCTGATGAAGCTCGCAGGGATGATGGGCGCTCTCTGCGCTCCGAAACTCGGGGGCGGAGGGAACAGCCGCCACGGTCTTTCCGTTCCATCGGCAGCACGATGCTGAGTCATTGATCATTAGGAAGGGCCGGGTTTTCGAAGGGTTCACACCTTTCAAGATCGGGTCCAACTGGAATGCTTGTGGATGTTTGTGTTTCTGTTATTGGATGGAGGGCTCGAGATAGCCGGAATCCCGGAGCGACTTGTAGCCCCAGACTGGGTGACCAGTCGATTTTTACGCGGCGACAGCCATAGCTTTGCGTAGTCCCGGTTGGCACCGGAGACTGCGAGCTAGACGCTCGCGAGCAAGGGCCTTTGTGGCTTTGCATAGAAAGAAGCTCTGGTTGAAAGGGAGGACTCTGCATAAAATCTTGCGTTTGACAAGGTTTCTGGCACTGCATCATACGAGGCCGCACTTTCGCATCGCTGCATTGGAAGTACCCACTGTGGACGTGCAAAGATCCGGCATGACATGGAAGCAGAACAGAAACTGGAATCCAAAGGCGCAGGCATGGAAGCAGACATGGCCCTCAGAGCAGCAGGAAAAGCCAAAGGCGAAGAAGGAAGACAAAGAGAAAGACAAGGCCTTCTTCGTGGGATACGATGGCAGAAAGGTGGCAGTGCCCAATGGGCAGTCATCCTCGTCGGGATCTACTTCCTCGGCTACAGCCAATGCCCAGATCTTGGAGGAGAATCGGAAGTTGCGGGATGTCTTCAAGCTACTCCTCGACAAGGATGCTGGGAAGGAGGTGGGGAAGAGCCCGACAGAGTTGGTGGAAGAGTGCAAGAAGTTGGTGCACAACCCTCGAGAAAGTCTTCGAGAAAGACAGAGGGAATTGAACAAAGAGAAGAAAAGCATCAACAGGGCCGAGAAACTCGAGAGCACCATCAAGGAGAAAGAGGAAAACTTCGCAAAGTGGAAAGCGGGTTTTATGGAAGGACTGAGGCTGGAAGAAAAGAGATACGAGGAAGAGATGAAGGCCTTGAAAGAGGAGCTCAAGAATGTGGAAGATGGCCCCGATACACATTCTATGGAGGCGGAAAGCGATGGGGAGCAAGGTGCAAAGGCTTTGGCAGAGGACCTTTCACAAGTCAAAGCACAAATGGATCAGATGGCGACCTATTTCGAGGTCATGGAGAAGAGGAACCAACAGATGGTGCAGGAAATGAACCATCAGGTCCAGAGCTTGGTGGCTGTGATCCGCACCTCGCAAAGGCCAGATCTGGTCAATCAATCCTCCCCCCAGCTGGTCCGACCACCAGGACAAAGGCTGGATATGGAACGAACTCCAGTACGGGAAGAACGATCCAGATCGCCGGCAGTGAAGAGAAATTCAATCGAAGTGGTGAAGGAGGACGAGAACCTGGAGACCTTTCTCAAAGGACTTCTCGAGGGTCTGAAGGAGGAGCATCGAAAGCATGTGCTGACCATTGTCGAGGCGGAGCCGGAGAACTATTCGACGAAGGAGGCAGTGGAGATCTTAGTCCAGCAGGTCATGACGCAGGCCAGTGGACATGCATCTCTGGATTCGATGGACTCACCCAGTGGATTGCCAGTGACGATGGCCCGAAATTCGCTGCTACCATTTGGGGGGACATCAAACAGCAGGAAGGCGCCCAAGAAAGGGGAAGTGGCCAAGAGGACCCCTGGAGAAGCAGCAATGAAAGGGGCAGGCTCGGAGATTCCTGTACCAGAGATGTTGGACGACAAGCTATGAGCCCCACGGGCCTGATGCCACGTGTTGGGATGGGGTATGACTTTGAATGTGTCAGTGTGGGGGCCAACACTGACAGTCATGGCTTTGATGGGTGCGCCAATTTTCAAGGCTGCAGCATCAGCGTTTTTGTTCGTGCGAGTGATTCTGGGCTACATTTGTTTGGCCAAGGAGAATCATCTGAGTTGCTGGATCGAAATGATTTCGAGCCGGGGTTCCTGGAGAGGATCTGGGATTGTGCCATTACGATCTTCTGGTTTGTAGCTGGAAGCTTGTGTTTTCCATTTGTGGCCTTTTTCGACCTCCCTGAATTTTTCAGGGTATATCTACTCGGGATCTGCGTTGTGATTATGTGCGTCTTGGTGCTTGAAGAGCTCGGGCATATCAGCCAGTGTGCAGTAGGATATGCACGTGGCAGAAGGATTCGACCAATCCCACCTTTTGCCGAGATCTGCCAAGCTTTTGTGTGCCAATGGGTAGGAATAGCATGTAATTACATGATTCTCGAGTTCGATGTTGAAGTGAAGTATGAAAGGGGGGTAGGAGAAACTGCCCTAGGAATTGACTTGCTTATAAGGCTTTGTAGGTATCAGGAACTCATCCTTTTTGTTCTTGGCTTCCTTAGCCTGTGGGGCTGGCGACTTGACCAGACCACCAAGTATCCAGGGAGAGCGACACGAGCTGACCGTAGGGTCCCACATTGCAAGCGAATTCCAAAGACTCGCAGAAGTTTTGTGGCTTGGCTCCTTCTTTGCAACTTATTGTGCTGCGAAGGGATTGGAGTTGCCAATCGTATCTGTGAGAATAATGCCCTTGGCATTAGTGATAGTCATGAGATGACTCAAGAGCGATGTCCTTTCCGACCTTATGAGGACTTTGCTGATGAAGGCGACCTTAGCCGACCAGAAGGTTGTGGCGATTCCTTTGAGGAACATCTTCTGGAGGGAAGCAACGGACAACACGGAGCTTCTAGAGGTTTCCAGAGCCTCGACGGAACTTGCCACGCTCCAGGTGACTGTCGAGCCAATTCAACACCCATTGACATTTTTTGTCCCGGTGTTGTGCAAAGTTTTGTGCCAATTTTTGGGGAGAACAAGGTGACAAAGAACTTTACTCCTGATTCTGGCGACTATACAACCGGAGAAAACACTGCAACTCCAGATGCCTTTGACAAGGATGGTTGTTGTATAGCTTTTCCCTGGGAAGAACCGAATGATTATACAGTACTTATGCAACGCTTTCCGATTGAGCAGCAGCGTGTTCCTTTTGCTCGTGCTAGTGAACGAGGGCTCCCAATCCGGCATGCTTTGGAATTGAGCAGAAGAGTGTTTACACCAATCTGGATGCTGGAAGGGAGAGACGTTGCGTTTGAATATTTCCGCTCTGCGGAGCAGGGGATTTGGCAGAAGAAGGTGCTTGGATGGAAGTTCTTGGGCTATGACCAGGAGATTGGGCTTCCCTTCAGTATTCAGCTGCTTCCAAGAGGCCTTTGGGCTACACAGTTGATTGGGCATTTTGAAGATGATGATGTACTTACGGTCTTCTTTGTGGTGGTGACGCCGCAACCCACCATGATGCATCATGCTGACCCTCAAAGAGGGCTGCATGATGTGGTTACCATTGCGATGGAGTCAGAAGCCTATGCATCTGATAGACTCCCTCTGATGATACAGTATGACCTTGAGGGCATCATTGTTCAAACGGCAGTACGATGTCCTATTGCCTGTACTCCAATCATGATTTGTGACCTTCTGCAATTGGATGAGAGATGCCAACCCCCTTATGAGGTGCGGATTTCATATCGAGATGACTATGTGGAAAGGTTTTTTGTCAAATATGAACGTATTGGTTTGCCGGCAGGTTCCTTTGTGCATCTCAGCACTTACATCAGGGATGAACAATGTGAATGGGAGCTGCCGCAGCAATATCCTCTACGTGAGCATCAAGTCCTTATTCTGGCAAGTGATGCAAATTTTGACAATAGGCATGATGTCTCTGACGGAGGAAGAGAAGCCCAGCTGGATCTGCCACATGGACAGGAGTCTGACACAGTCGACTTCATGCAAGACCCTGACATTAGGTCTACACGGCATAGGAAGCTTGGGGGAAATGATGAGGACACCTCGCTGATGCAGGTCGGCTTGCCTGCCCATGACCTGGTGACAAGATACATGGAGAATCTGGAACTACAATATGATGCTATCGAAGTGGCAGTCTGGTATCATCCCCTGGTTCTTATGGGACAGAAGGCGACTTTTGTCAGATGGGCTACTTTCCTGATTGGCTATCCTGGTGGGCCCTTTGTCCGGGGGATCTGGTCGAGGGCCCTTGGGAGGGGACCCTGCTATGTCTACCCTGTCAGGCCAATGCCAGAGCAAGGAGGCAGAGCTGGACCGCAATTCATCGTGACCAATTTTGTAGGCGAAAATGTTCTCCCAGCTTTGGTGATCTACCGGGGCGATGAGGGAAATAGCCGTACCTTTACATACATTTTTGATGTGCGCCAATGGCCTACCATGATGGAGATCTTTGATGCAGTCATACCAGATCATGGCTGTGTATGGGATAGCGACTGTGTTCTGGTTATGGGACCTTTCGATGCTGAGAGGGCATACACATGGAACATGCGGGTCGAGCTCTATGAAGGAGCGTATTTGAGGCTGCGTGAGACTGCCAGAGATATACCACCCCATGTATGGCAGGACGATGGAGGCACGACATGTGGCACAGAAACACATACGGATAGTGCCAGTGATTCTGAAAGGGGGGAAGCCACATCAAGCTCTCATTCGTCAACTTCACGAACAGCTGTTGAGGGAGACCACTTGAATGCTGATGAGGAAGTTGAGGGAGAGACGGGAGGCAGCCCACTATGGATGATGCAGTTTGCCTGGGAACTGGAAATGGCAAAGGACGAGGAGGATTTTCTGGCAGGTGCGGAGGAAGTCCACTTGGCTTCAATGGAGAAGGCAAGATATCGTGATTTGCTGCACTTGGACGGGCACCTACAAGGAGAAGGGGATGTTATGCGAAATTTCCTTCGCGAGATTTTTCCTTGTGATGGGCTGAAGGTCTTCACGGTGC